GGTGTGATGTGGCACCTCAGAGTGAACTCAAAAATTTTTTTAAAATAAATGTTTAAATTGTCTTTACATGTAACTTGGGGAAAAGTAAAATATTATATATTTTAAAAACCTGAACCAATCTTCAATGCCACCCATGAGACACACTTGCTTCCTCACTGATCTAGCAACACTGCAGCCATTGAACAGATAAAGCTCAGAGTCCATCAGTAACTGAGCAGAATGATCCTGAGGACAGTCCTCTTGCTTCCAGTTCAGGGCTCTTTTTTATGAAGGAATAACAACAGATCAGCTCGGAGGGGTGGCTTGGGGCCAGCCCGGCGGGAGGTTAGGAATGGAAAGTTTAACCTCAGCAGACAACAAGTAGCAATTGAAGGTTTCTGAGTAGCGGAACCAAGTGATAAATGTGGTCTTTCAGGAAGGCTCATTTTGTAGGAATACACAAGACAAGAAGGAGAGAGGCTGGAGACAAGAACAGTCAGGAGGCTCCTGTGTTGTGAAATGAAAATCTGGGGTGGTGGTAAAGAAAATGGAAAGGAAGGGGCAGAAGAGAGGCCTTTCTGAGGAAGAATCGACATTCGTTCACCTGACAAACATCTACTTATTTTTAAAATTTTTTTAAATTTTTAGTCAATTGGTGTTAAGTGACTTGCCTAGAGTCACATAGCTATTAAGTGTTAAGTGTGTGATCTGAGGCCGGATTTGAACTCAGGTCCTCCTGACTTCAGGCCCGATGCTCTGTCCACTGCACCACCTAGCTGCCCCTTTTTCTAATTTTTTTTTAATTTTTGACAAACATCTACTGAGCCCTCTGCTGTAACAACAAGTAATTCTATGGGATTTTAAAGTCCACCATCTCCCTGGGGCCTCACGTCCTGTGAGGTACAGCCACAAGGATTATTGTTTGTTTTACAAATAGGAAACAGACTCAGACAAGTTAAATGAGATGCCCATGGTCACAATGCTAGCATCAAAGGGAGGGTTCTGAGGAGACAGCAGCATGTTATTAGTGTAAAAAGCACAGGATATGGCGTCAAAGAACCTGGCCAGATTATTTAATTTCCCTGGGCCTTAGGTTCCTAAACTGTAAAATGAGGGAGCTGGATGAGAGGCCCCTAAGATCTCTTCCAGAATCAGATCTATGACCCTATGAGCCCAAGCCTTCCTGACCCCAAGTCCTGCCTTTTACCCACAATGCCAAGAGAAGTACACAGCGCTCTGAAGATACCAAGGTACACAAAAAGGATGAGTGCTATTTACACAGCACTTCAAGGTTTACAAAGAGTTTCACTTACTGATCATCGAGACAGAGAGGGGTTAACTGCACAATGGCCAGATATCAGAGGCAGAATTTGAACCCAAGTCTTTCCTGACTCCCAGCCTAACCCTCTTTCCTTAGTACCATACAGGGTGTGGGCAGAAATCAATGAGACCATTTTTAATCATTCTTTCCTGTTGTTGTTTTTTTCTTCTGTAGCTTTTAATGTTGTTCATGGTAGAGCACTTCAGACATTTTTCCCCAAAAAATATTACTACTGGTAAGAACAGTCTACTTGATGAGGTTTCAGATTTTTCTCTAGTCTTTTTGGGGATTTTTACTAGTAAATGTGGATCAGAACTAGAAGAACCACGGTTCTCCAGAATGTTCTCTGAATGCTCTCTCATGATCCCATGGCATAGTGGGAAAAGTGCTGGACCTGGAATGAGAGGCCACAGTGTTGGGTCCTGGTCAATTCTAGACCCGCTCTGCCATGCCACCTCCACTTGGACCTTCTCCTCCATCTTGGTTCTACTGTTCTTGGAGAGGTTGGCACCTGCCTGATCTTGCTAGTAGCCAGGCCTCCTCAGCACCCCCCAGATACTCTGCCACACATGCCATTAGAATGTGCTCTCTTTGGGGGCAAGCATTCCCAGTGTTCATCACAGTGCCTAGCACATACTAAGGGCTTAATGTTTTATTGATCAATTGGTCACTCTACCTTGACCTTGGTTAAGTCACTTAACTTCTCTGGGCCTCAGTTTGCTCTTCTGTAAAATGGGAGGGTTGGATATGATGACCTCTAAGATTCTTTAGCTCTAAACCTATCCTATCTGATCAGTATCTTATTTAGTTTCAAGTTCCCAAATCAGTAAGGTATATTCAACCTAAAACCAGCCCCAACACTGAACCTTTTTTTTTTCAAGGTTTGCATTAACAACTTGGCTTCCTTCATGTATGTCTAAAATCTACCCCCACCTGCTATGGGTGCCTCATTACCATTCTCCTAACTCTCTTCTCCCTGAAATGTTTTTTGTCTTCTTTTATGTTATGGCCATTTCTGGAAACATCCTCCCCTCTTACTCTCCCTAGATTAAATTCTCCATTTTACAAAGAAAATAACACTCCATACGGTGACCCCATCTGACAGTGTGTATAGCATTCTGTTACCACTCTCCTTTTCTAATGTGTAGAGAGAAGTGTTTCATTCTCTCTCCTCTGGCACCAGGATTGGTTTCCACTCCCTTGGAATTCATTCCTTTTCCTTTCTGTGATCATTTCATGTATGTTGTTGTTTGTCACTGGACAATACTCTTCTTTTAGTTCTGCTTACTTCATTCTACACAGGTTCATACAATCTTCCCAAGTTTCTCTGAACTATTCACATTAGACATTTATTTCCACATAACATTCACATATCAGTTTCTTTTTTTAGTCAGTTTATAACTGATGGACCTACTTAAGTAGGTCCAATTTCCACTGGAAATTGGACCTACTTAAGTAGGTCCAATTTCCACTGGAAAAGAAATTAATGGCATTAAATCAGGCTTGCTGGAGCAAGACTGTGGCCAATTGTCTCCTTCTGGCTCCCATGGCAACCAAGTCATGGATTAAACCTTCCCGGGCAAACTGAACTGCATCATTCCCTGTCAACAGCTGACTGCACTTCTAAGTGAAGCTGGGAGGGTAGGGGATGAGGGCAGGCCAACTGAGTTGACTACTGTCACCTGAGCCAGGAGTGTTCCAGCTCTGCCTGTCACAAGCTTCTGTCACTATTCTCAAATGAGAGTCACTGAGAAGCATAGCCAGCCTGGGAGAGCAGAAACCATGTGGGAAGCCTCCATCTGACCCCCAAATTGAGGACAAGGAATGACTCAAGGGACAGGGATTTCCACTCACCTGAAGGAGAGGCTTGGGTAAGGCATAAGAGATAGGTACCTGGGTTCACGACCTTGTTTTAAAAAAATGTTTTGATAATTATATTTCAATATAAGTGGTTTCTCTTGTAATGCTATGTATTTTACTCTATTTAAAAACATCTGAGAAAGAGTCCCTAGACTTCACCAGACTGCCCAAAGGGTCCAGGATGTCACCAGCATTATGAGACCTCCTGACCTTAGAGGCTTAACAACAAGGCTTTGGTTTCTCCTTGCTCTTTTAGGTGTTCAAGGATTATCTGAGCCATGATTTACTTTACTTTGGTGCACACAGCCTATCACTTACACCACTGGCTTCCCAGACCCACCCGTCTCAGGCTCAGTATCTACTTCTAAACTATTGACTACAGCAGGGCTTCTTAAACTTTTTCCACTTGTGACCCCTTTCAGCACTTCTTAAACTGTGGGTGGTGACCCCATATGGAAGTGCTGGAGAGGGCGGAGAACATGCCTAAATATGGAAGAGTTGTTATTTCTTTCTGAGGCATTAGCCAAATCAAGTTGCTCGATAAAAAATTACTGAGATTCAACCATCAGGCCAGAAAGTGTGAGGAGAGAAAAGGGACCAGAATCTTTATTTGTCCAGTTCTCCACGTGACAGTGCAGCATGTTCACAAGAGGCACCTATATTTAGGAGGAATTATTAAAGCAGTGCCTCATTTTTTTTTCAAAGAGAGCAGAATTTAGGCATCCAAATGAGGGCTGTCTTATTCCAAGCAGTCTGCCTCAAGGGCTTCCAACACATGATTCAGAATATCCTCCATGGTGGCTCCTTTGAGGGCGTATTTAATTTCTGCAAAAACCTGGGTCTCAGAGCCAAGTCTGGAAAACAGGGAGGCAGGCAAGCTAGGTAATGCCCGTTCTGAGTCTGAGTGATTTTGTTCTAATGCTCATATACTTACTCAGAAGTCAATTTCTGAAGAGGAGTTCCAAAAATATCTAGAGCAATGGCAGTACTGCTGAACTAAATGTATTGGCCAAGATGTTTACACTCCACATGTGCATTTGGAAATTACGGCACACATGTGTCAAAAATAAATCAGTCTTGTTTCAACATTAGTAAAAAAAAAAGTTGGGGGTTATAGAGAGTTTATACCACTCAATTCCCCTAAAAAAACCCATTCCAATTGCAAAGGGTCTGAATGACATTACTATGTCATCTGAAGGCAGAAAGGACAGAAGTGGGCAGCCCCAGCCCCGGGCCCAGGGAGTCTTCAATTAGATGAAATATATCCCAAGTGTACAATGACAAGCACATCCTGACAATGATTTGTGTTCTAGTTCTCAACTAGAAGCTCTCTTTGGAACTGTGAGAGAAAAACTCCCTTAGGAAGAAGGCCTGACTGTTGCTACAAATAACCTAGAGATCCAGGTTTGTTTCCAAGGCAGAGTTAGCCACACTGTGAAGCCAACAGGATAGACTTTAGACATGGAATCGTGGCGAGGCTGCAAAGAACAGCCACAGCATTTTCACACTGCACTCACTGCCTTGTAACAAAACCCAAAGCTGGTTTATGAGAGATGATCTTACCCCTGAATAAGTAATGAACAAACTGTATTCAGCCAGGTGATCATATTCTTCTCTGGACTGGCCATTCTGCTCCTTCACTTCTGGGTCCTGTTCAGGTAAGCGCTTTCCCAGCCCCTGCAGCTGATGCTACTGTGTGTGGGAGTCTGGGCACCTCGAGGCTGAGACCTAAAGCTTGTCTTACCTGTGGAGGAGCTGTGACTCCCTGAAAAGAATTTAACTGCAGCCTGTCCCATGGTTTCTTCTCCTGGCTCCAATCAGATCTAGTCACCTCTTTGAAGATAGAAAATGATTCATACAAAATTTCTAACGTTAAGTTTAGGTGGGCTAGAGGAGGGTTGGTTTAAGTATAACCTGAGAGCAAGGCCTGCTTCTTAGTACATCCAAAGCCATTAAAAATGAGACATTGAGAGAAGTTCATTATTACAATCTCTGCATCCCCTAGGGACCAATTCCTGCCAGTGCAACATTAGCTAATGTCTCTAAGGGCTGAGGGTGACCCAACCAAAATCACAGAACAAAGCTCCCCCCAAAGATCCTCTGCCAGAAAACTAGAACGAGGCCAATGAGGGACTCGGCCACTAAATCAATGAAGACCAGGATAATCTGATGCATTTTACACTGTGCTCGGCATCAAGAAAGTGTGCACTGGTAATGTGGGAGCTCAAAAGACCAGACCTAGGACCTACCTCAGACAGAAGAAAAGGCTCAGCTCTTTTAGATGCCTGCAAAATCAGCCTAACTCGGAACTCGGGAGTTGGATGAAATGACATCTCATCTCCCTTCCAGCTTTCAATCTATGATTGTCGCTGCAGAAGATGGACAATTTAAAACAGGCTCATGGCACCACAGACTGAGCAGTGGGAGGGACTTGAGAAGTCACTGTCCAATCCTTTCATTTTGTAGATGAGGAAATGAAGCCAGAGTCACACAGGTTACTACCAGTGCAGGGCTGGGATTTGAACCCAGGTCCCCATCTCCAAATCCAGCACACTTTCTACTATATCATCCTGTCTCTCGTATCACTGCTGTTACAAAGAAAATAAAATCATTCCCTCATCCAAATATCACATTAATGTGAATTGGAAATACAGAGCAGCATTCCCTCACATAAATGTTTCATATTCAAAGCAGTTTGGTTCTATGAAATAACCCTCTTGTGAGTTGTGGGCTATCTCCACCCTTACTAAAGGTGGGGGTAAAAAACGGACAACTGAAAACCCAGCTGCCCAGAGCTCCAGACAGAATAGAGGCTAGAGAGGGGACAGTAGCTCCCAAGTCACTGGTGAGCCTGCAGGTTTGGGGATTAAATTGTCATGTGGCATGCTGATTTCCAGGCCCAGGTCTGCCCACTACTGCAGCCAGCCCCTCCTCTGCAACCTGGTGGTTAACATCATCTTTGCTTTCCTCACTATCGGTAAGTTCTTGACCATTCTAATTGAATACTGAACTACAGGGGACAAACAGGTCATTTCCTGGGTACTACTCTGTTTTCCCAGAACTGACGTACAGAAACAAAATTAGCTGATTGCATTTCCTCTGTATGTGTGTGCAGATACACATATACAGACATAGAAACAGATATATGAGGTGAATCTGCACTGAAGGAAACGATTATAAGCTAAGCTGTCCTCATCACAGCCCACTGTTTGCCTCTTTTCCTTTCAGGCCTGGCTTTGCTCCTCACTCAGGTGGAACCAGGGCCCAAGGCCCTGGGTGGGCTCTTTGTGGTTTTTGGTGTCGCCTCCTTTGCTGAGGGAGTCTGTACTATGGTCTTCACTGCCTTGGCCTTCAACTGTGTAAGTTTCTAAAGGAGAGTGCTCCTAAAGGTTCATCTTAACCTGAGTCATGTAAGAAATCCTACAGGCAAACGGTTCTTCCCATTCTTCATATGTGGCCTCCCTTTCCCATCTCTGTGCCTTTGCATTGGCTGTGCTGCCTGCCTGGAGTGTACTTCCTTCCTCCCTCCTCATCTGGTAGATGATACGTGGTAGATGCTTGTTGACTGAAAAAAGGAAATTATGCCACTAGAATATTCAGGGCATACAAAGAGCAAATGCTTGTATGTGGAGAGATGGGGATGACTACTCAGACCCATGTCTTTATTTATTTATCTATCTATTTATTTGTTTGTTTATTTTTGGTGAGGCAATTGGGGTTAAGTGACTTGCCCAAGGTCACACAGCTAGTACATGTCAAGTATTTGGTCTGAGGCCGCATTTGAATTCAGGTCCTCCTGATTTCAGGGCCGGTGCTCCACCCACTGCGCCACCTAGCTGCCCCCCCATGTCATTATTTAAACAGACTTAATGGTGGTAGTGGTGGTGGAAACCACAACACATTCAATTTAATAATTAAGGGATTTTTATTTTTAGTCTAGAGCAGTGATTTCATCAGTACAGGTAACTCCTTGTGTGAGAATTCCCTCCACCCATACTGTTCAGCAACTCATCTGCACCTTATTGCCTTAGATGAGGACCTAAGGGGCTCAATGCGTGTGTGTCAGAGGTGGGACTTGAACTCTTGTCTTCCTGACTCCAAGGGCAGCCCTCTATTCACTATATCACACGATAATCGAGGGACTTTTATATTAGTGGTTTAAAATTCCATATTCCTAGAATAATCTAAAAACCACTTATGGTATTGGCAAGAAATTAAATTTGTGCTTAGTCTGACATGGGAGTAAATTTCCTTTATCTTGCTTTATCAGCCAAAGAAATATCAATTAATCTTCCCATAGAAGCCGCCACTGATGCTGATTTTCAATGCTAGATGAAGGAAAAGAATGCTTCCTCACAGGCACTTTCTTATACAGGAGAAAACCACCCCTGAACTTTACCACCTGTCTCTGCTCTTGTCAGTTGGCAGCCTGGTGTCTACAAGTAGGTGTCAATACCTGTGGAGGGCCCCACTCTCATCAGGGATGAGTGGACAGACCATGGGTTATGGACACTTCAGTAGGAGCACCTGCCAAAGTGGAAGCAGGCAAGCCAGGGAACACCCTGATTCTTTTTACATGGAACTACAAAGGACAAAGAATTATGGCAGACTGGGAGAAAGCCTCCTTCTCACATTCGTTGCATTTCCATTGTTAAAGATCTTTTTTTTTCCTCTCTAGTGTTCTTCTCCATCACGGGGCTGATCTGGCTGGCCAACGTGGTTTCTCCAGGCCTGGGGCTGAACAAAGAGCCAGCCACGGGCATCTGGGTCAGGCCGCTCTCTCGTTTTAGATAGCTGTCTCTGCCAGGTCGGGCGACGACCACAGATTTTTGCTGGCAGCGTTCCCACCAAAGTCTCCCATCCCATTTCTTTTAGCAGAAGAGATGAGCTAATCCTTGCAGCAGCCTCAGGGGACACACAGTCCAAACTGGGCATCCAGAATACCAGGCTGAGTTAGCTTTAACTACTCTCTCACAGGCAGTGACCACAGGAGGCTGATAAACAGCTGCACTCAACTCGGGGATTTCTGAAACATCAACCTCACCCTCAATACGACCATTTTCCCAAATACTCTCAAGACATCTGTTCTGCTGTTCTGTATCTGTTTTCAGTTCAAATAAGTTGGCAGTAAGGGCGTGGGGACTGCTTGGAGCACAGACCTCACCCTAGCATCAGCTAGACGTATTGCTATGGAAACAGCTACCAAAAAAGAGGAAGAAGGAATCGGTAGCATTTTTGTAAAAATGCACAAAGCTTTAGTTTCTAAAGAACAAAATGACTCAGATTGGAGGTTTTAACAGGGTCAAACTGTTGCATCTAAAAAAAAAATCTGGAGACTTTGGGGATGACAATAATCCCAGGCACTAGACCAAGCACCATCCCCTCCCCCATGGGGTAAAACAGCCTTTCTGCATCTCATTATCTAATTGTGATCTTCTAGAGAAAGCAGGTCATTAAATTGCATCATGGCTAGACTTTTACTCCCTCTGTGTCTGTTTACAAATTTGGGGTTATTAACAGGAAAGACCTGGTTATGCACACACATCCCATCTTTACTGTTGTTAACACTGGCTAGCTTGCTCCCTTTTCTTCTGGAAATGTAGCAGGATACATTTGCCAGGAGGAGGAGGAAGTCCAAGACTACAACGTAATAAACATCATCTAACCTGGTCCCATCTGTGACTATAACAGCACCTCAGTGACTAGGGAATCTCATAGACCATCCAATCCATTTTCCTTCATACTGGCGTCAGTTACTGCAGGGGGGAGTGGGTTGGCTGTTAACATTTATTTCCCAGAAAGAGAACGCTACCACAGCAAAAACCCTACCAGGTCACCTGAAATTGGCAGCCCAACATAGCTAAGAGTGCAGGTCTTGGGGTTCAAATCCAGCCTGAAATAGCCATGGGAGAATCACTAAAACCCGAGGGGCTTTTGGCACATTGCCAGACCACCTAACACAGAGACGCGCTGTTTCTGGGAGAAGATACTCAGCAATCCCTCTCATCCCACCAATACGGGTGGGAGCAGCCTCTTCCAACTGGCTAAATAGCCAGAAGAGGAATGTCTTGAAAACTACAGGACAGGGACAGTCTTGTTCTCCTACCTGCATCGTCCAGAGGGGGATAAAGATCCGAGTTCACTCACAGCAGGGATGCCATGAAGTGAGCTGATGAGAGCGGGGAAGGGCTACCTTCTCCTGCTCTCTCTCTTTAGACTCTGTGCCCCCCCCCCCCGAGAAAAGTACCTAAGGTTTTGTTCTGGTCTGTTCCATTTGTCTTTTCAGTTCCAGGCACAGGCAATGGAATCCTGGAATCCCCATGGAGACCTTGGAGCCAAGATTCCAGGCTGCATATGCAGCCATCCAGTCCAGCAGGGAAGCCCTGAGAAGCCAGGATACCAGGGACTCAAGCCCAAGGGGAATTCTGGACTTGGAACTTGGGGCTGTGCTATACAGGAACTGAGCTAAACTGCAAGCCTACTGAGGTGCTGAAAGGCAGGATTAAGCCCCCACATACCTGGGAAATGAATAGTGCTTGGTAAAAGCTAATCTGACTGTTACATGGTTAAATGGAGCTGGGGAGCAGGAATTCGCCTCCAACTGAGGGTGCACCATTAATGGGGCTGGTGTCAATGGCAGAGAGCCTAGACACCCCTAACTTCCTCTTAATAGTGCTGGAGAATTATGGGGGAAAGATGAACTGGAACACGCCTGGCCTTCAGGCAGTGGGGGCCAGAGTAGAAAGTGCCACATTATTGATGGGTTATAGTCACAGCCAGACCTTCCAGACTGATGAAATCATAAGTCCCTGACATACTGACCAACTCACAAAGTAATAACTAAGAGTACTGGATGATAAAATTAGATCTTATATGTCACTGAGTCTAGCCCTCCCTTCACTTGATCAATGAGGAAACCAAGATCCTGAGAGGTGAGTGACTTGTCATGAAGATGGCAAGGACAGCTGGAATTCCCAGAAGTCCTGAGATTCTGAAATCCTGCTGGTCATGCTAGCCATGCTCTCTGCCCACTCCGAAATAACCATCAGCTAAAGCATCCCCTTTTAGCAGAACCTATTTGAAAATAATAACCCTGCTATAAATTCTATTTTAAAATCAGAACTCTCAGCAACAAGGGGAGGGGGGGATAATGGACAGTCTCTGCAGGTTGCTTTGAAAGGTCCAGTAACTTACGTCAGTATTGTTTTCCCACGAAATATATTCGTCCCCCTTGGCAGAAAGTCTGCTCAACATTTCTAACTGAATTTTATCCTAGCTTCAGAAAAAAAAATAGCTAATGAAATTCTACTTTTTAAATTGGGAGTACATAAGTCTAACAAATTCAACTTGAGATTTTACTTTAAACTACAAACGTCAGAGATTAGCAGCAAAACCAAGGCATCTCAGACTTACTGAAAAGATGTGCCTGATAATTAACCAGCAGCAGTGGGAGAGCTGCTTTTAATCAGATGTTTTCCTCTTAGGCCCTGTGGCATCTTACACACTTTCATCATTTCTGCATCAAAATCAAGACTCTGTTTGAGCCGACATCAGATTCAGTAAGCATCGTTCTTATTTTATTCTACTGATGCCTTAGAAACCATGACGTTTTCTGACACGAGTGAATGTTAAGGCAAATAAAGATATGTAAACTTTTTCTAACACAAAAGGCATGAGTCTCTGTACTGAATCTTTAAATACATTTTAATAAGTCTTATTTTTATGGATATCTTTTATTTTTACATCTGCTTACGTGGCAGAGTGGACATAGCGCTGGGCCTGGAGTCAGGAACTTGAGTTCAAATCTAGCATCAGACACTTACTAGCTGTGTGACCCTGGACAAGTCACTTCACCACTGCTTTCCTCAGTTTCCTCAACTGTAAAATAGAGATAATAATAGTACCTACTTCCCATGGCTGCTGTCAGGATCAAATGACAGTATCTGTAAAGTGCTTAACACGGTGCCTGATATACAGCAGGTGCTACATAAATGCTTCTCTCTCTGTGTCTCTCCATCTCTCTGTCTCTTTTTTTTTAAAGAATTTTTTAAAGGATTTTAAGGGATTAATTTATTAATTTATTTTGATTTATCACCAATCACTTCCATAAACTTCTGAGTTTAAAATTTTTCTCCCCTCCTTCCCCACATCCCTCCCCAAGACAGCGTACTATCTAATATAGGCTATACATATACATTCCTATTAAACTTATTTTCACATTAGTCATGTTGTAAGGAAGAATTAGAACCAACAGAAGGAACCAGAAGAAAGAGGAAACAAAACAAAACAGAAGGAAAAAAAAAAGATCAAATAGTATGATTCAATCTGCATTCAAACTCCATAGCTCTTTCTTTGGATGTGGATAGCACTTTCCATCATGAGACTTTTGGAAATGTCTTAGATCCTTGCACTGATGAGAAGACATAAGTCTCTCAAAGTTAGTCATCACACTGTGGCTGTTACTGTGTACAACGTTCTCCTGGTTCTGCTCACTTCACTCAGCATCAGACCATACAAGTCTTCCCAGGTTTTTCAACTTGTTCAGCCATTCCACGATTGCTGGGCATCCCCTCAATTTCCAATTCTTGGCCATGACAAAAAGAGCTGCTATAAATATTTTTGTACATGTGGGTCCTTTTCCCATTTGTATGATCTCTTTGGGATACAGCCCTAGAAATGCTATTGATGGGTCAAAGAGTTTCTCTGTCTCTTGTCTGTCTATCTGTCTCCCTCTCTTCCTCTCTTTCTCTCTCTCTCTCACACACACACACACACACACACACACACACACTCAATGGAAAGGATCCCTGACATGTGTGACTTCTACCACTTCTAATTTGCAAACTGGCATAATCCTTGTTGGAGAACACTGCCCTTTGTGCCACTTGTTAACATCTCTGGGATATAACCAAGTAGAGAAAGGTTACTTTTTTAATTTTATTTTTAAAAATACTTGTCTGTTGATACTCTAAATGTAAAATCCTTATCCAATGACAAACACTACTGGACAAAATGAATGGTACTCATCTTGACATTTTGTTATAAATGACACCAGAATGCAGAAAGACACTGTAGCTAAATGGAAGGACAGAGAGGAGGCAAAGCCAAAATGGAAGAGTAGCAGAAGCAGGAGAGTGTGCTCCTCACTTCAGAACTCCTCCAAATAGACCTAGAAAATGCTGAGTCCTGGTGGGGGAATCCAAGAAAAGGTTACAGTGAGTCCTTTTTCCACCCCAGGTTAGCACAAAGCGATGGAGAGGTCTGCAGACAACTACTATGACAACTACTATGAAATGAAGAAGGTGATGGTTTCAGAGAAACCTAGAAAGACTTGTATGAATTGATACAGAGTAAAGGGAGTAGAACCAGAAGAACAATTTATACAGTGAAGCAATGTGATAAAGAAAAACAACTCTGAAAGAATATTTTGTGTGTGTGTGTGTGTGTGTGTGTGTGTGTGTGTGTATAAAAATAACTCTGTCAAATATATAAGAACACATCATTCTCCAACTGTTAAACAGACAAAGGATATGAACAGGCAGTTTTCCAGTGAAGAAATAAAAAGAGTTTATAGTCACGTGAAAAAATACTCTAAATCATTATTGATTAGAGAAATGCAAATTAAAACAACCTTGGGATATCATTTTACACCTATCAGATTGGCTAAAATGATTGAAGGGAAAGTGACAACCATTGGAGGGGATGAGAAAAATCAGGACACTGTTGGAACTGTGAAGTGATCCAATCATTTTGGAGAGCAATCTGAAATTATGCCTAAAGAGTTATTAAATTGCCTATACATTTTGACCCAGCAATACCAATACTAGGTCTATTTCCAAAGATGATTAGGGGAAAAGGAAAAGAACCTATATGTTCTAAAATGTTTACAGCAGCTTTCTTTGTGGTGGCAAAGAACTGGAAATTGTGGGGATGCCCAGCAATTGGAGAATGGCTGAACAAGTTGATATGGTACATGATTGTGATGGTATATTATTGTGACTGTACTACAAAAAATGATGCACTCAATGATCTTAGAAAAACATGGATAGATTTGCACAAAATAACGAAGAGAGAAAAGAGCAGAATCAAGAGAATGTTTTATACAGTAACAGCAATACTGTTTTAAGAACAACCCTGAGTGACTATATCATTCTGACTATTATAAATACCCAAATTAACTACAAAGGACTTACGAAGAAAAATGCTATCTGTATCCAGAGAAAAGAACTGATATAAGAATGATTCTACATATACATGTATACATACATACATACATACACACACTTGTGTCTAACGGTAGCCATCTCCAGGGTGGGAGAGAGAAAAATAAAAGAAAAAATAAAGTTACATGATTACTTTATTATATGTTTAAAAGGAATAGCATGATAAATGTAGCATTTGTCATTCTAAGCAGTCTCAAAGAAACTAAGTTTGGAATAAAGGCAAAAGAGAAATAGGCCTAAATGACCTCTTTAATGTTACCCTGACCTGTGAATAACTTCTTACAATGACACGTTATCTGAGTCCTGCTTTAATAACACTGCAAAACATTATAACAGTGAATACAAATACAAAACACTCCTTACAGAAATAGAAAGACCTAAATAACTGGAGAAATCTTAATTGCTCCTGGGTAGGCAGAAGCAATATGATAAAAATGATACAAACTAAATCAATTTACTTATTCATTGCCATACCAACCAACTACCAAGGCATTACATAACTTACACGGGGGAGCAAAAGGTCAAGAATCTCAAGAGAATAAATAACGAAAAAAAAGAGGAAGGAAAGGAACTTGGTGGAGTCAGTTCTCAAACGATACTACATAGTATTAGTCCTCAAAGCAATTTGATTCTGTTTCAGAAATAGAGAGGTCAGTTAGTGGAACAGACTAGGTATTCAAAATGCAGAAGTAAATGAACACAGTAAGGCAGTGTTTGATAACCCCCCCAAAACCCAACTATTAGGGTCAGGACTCACTAGTAACAAAAACTGCTGATAAAACTGGAAAGTAGACTAGCAGAAATTATATATAGAAATATTTCATACGATATACCAAGATAAGGTCCAAATGGATATATGATTTAGATATAAAAGACAACATGATAAATAAAAAGAGCAAAGAAGAAATTACCTTTCAGTTCTATGGATGGGGAAGAATTAATGACAAAACAAGGAACAGAGAAGATCAGTTGATAAAATATAGGCAATTTTGACCAAATACATTTTAGAGGTTTTGCAGAAACAAAACCAATGTAGCTATAATTAGAAGGGAAGCTGATGAATAGGGAAAAAATCTTTAGGATGTCCTCTCAGTCACTGCTGGCAAGATTCTTGCCAGAGTCCTCCTTAAAGCCTGATCCTTTACATGGAAGAAGGTCATTTACCTGAGGGCCAGCGTGGCTTCAGAAAAGGCCAAGAAACGGTCAGTATGGTGTTTGCTACCCAACAACTCCAGGAAAAATGCCAAGAGCAGAACAGAGGTCTGTACACAATGTTTGTCAATCTGACCAAGGCCTCTGATACTGTTGGTCATGAGGGCTTGTGAAAAATTATGCAAAAATGTGGTTGCCTGGAGAAGTTCATCAGCATCATATGGCAATTTCATGAAAGCATGCTTGCCCAGGTTCTGGATAATGGACGATGCTCTGATGCTTTCCCAGTTACCAGTGAAATGCAACAAGACTGTGTGCGTGCTCCCACATTTTTTAGCATGACATTTTTAGCAATGTTGTCAGATGCCTTCAATGAGGATGAACATAGCATCAAGGTCAACTACTGCACTAATGGTACGTGATTTAATTTGAAAAGGGTACAAGCCAAGACTAAAGTGGAAGGACAGCTGGTATTCGATTTTTCATTTGCAGATGACTGTGGACTCAATACAGCCCCTGAGGCTGATGTGCAACAAAGTATGGATCGATTCTCCGCTGCTTGTGCTAATTTTGGCCCAACAATTAACACCAAGAAAATACGGGTTCTCCACCAGCCAGCACCACAACATCCATACATGGATCCATTGGTTACAGCAAATGGAGAAATGTTGACTGCTGTGGATAAGCTCATTTAACTTGGCAGTACACTTTTCAGGGATGTACACCTTGATAATGAAGTTGATATGTGCATTGCCAGAGCTAGCTCAGTGTCTGGGAGGCCTTGAAGGAAAGCGTGGGAAAGAGGTATTAGATTGCCTACTAAACTGAAGGTCTACAGAGCCATTAGGCTGACCTCATTGCCATATGCCTGTGAAACCTGGACAGTCTACCAGCGCCATGCCAGGAAACTGAACTGATTCCATTTGAATTGTCTTAGGAAGACTCTGAAGATCACCTGGAAAGATAAGGTCCTGGACACAGAGGTCCTTTCTCCAGCTAAACTGCCAAGCATTCAAACTCTACTGCAGAGATTGATGTTGTTTGAATATCAGATGTATATTTGCCTAAAAGACTATTCTATGGAGAACTCACAAAAGGCAAGTGTTCACATGGTGGTCAGAAGAAGTGATACAAGGACACTCTCAAGGTCTCTTTGAAGAACTCTGGAATTGACTGTGTGACATGGAAGATAGTGGCACAAGGCCATCCAGCAGGGTGTGCCCTCATCAGAGAAGGTGCCGTGCTCTATGAGCAAAGCAGAATTGAAGTAGCCCAAAA